ATGAGATACTGACTTCATGCTTAATAGTGAGACATTACACACTTTCCCTAAAATTGGAAACAAGGCAAGGACGTCCCCTCCCACCACTGCTATTCAACACAGTGCTGGGAATCCCAGCTAATACAACAAAAAGACAGTCTAAGGGAAGGAAAGGAAATAAAAGGTATACAGATTGAGAACGGAGAGAAATAATTGTTTGCAGATGTCTAAGTAGAAAGTCCCAAAGAACCAAGAAAACCCCTCCAGGAACTGGTAAGCCATTACAACAAGGTTGTAGGGGACAGAAGCTTAATATGCAAATGTCAATTGCTTTCCTTTATACCAGAAATGAGCAACTGGAATTCGAACTCAAAAACATAATGCCATTTATATCAGCTCCAAAACCAAAATTACTCAGGCATAAATCTAACAAAATGTGTATAAAATCTGTGTGAGGATATCTACAAAGCTCTGAGGAAATAAATCAAGGTAGATCCATTTAAATGGGAAGGTATTTGAAGTTCATGGCTAGGAAGCCTCAACAGAGTGTTGGTAAGATGTCTCTCCTCCCAGTGTGGTCTCCTGAGACTCAATGCAGTCCCAATCAAAAAGCAAGTTGCTTTGTGGATATCAACAAACGGATCCTAAAGTTTATACGAAGAGGCAGACTAAGAATAGCTAACACGATGCTGAAGAACAAAGCCGAGAACTCTGACGCTATTCAACTTCCAGACTTACTATAAAAAAACTACAGTAATCAAGACAGTGTGGTGCCAGTGAAACAGAATAAAGAGCCCAGAAAGTGACCCGTGAAAATACAGCCAACTGATCCACGACAGAGATGCAACGGCGATCCAATGGAGGAGGATGGTACTGGGTTACCCAAAAAGTTCACGTGGTTTTTGTCTGCAAAATAAAAGACATTTTTTCATTTTCACCAGTAACTTTATTGATTTGGTTACTTTGAGTATGTCAGTTAGCTCTCACATGATTGTTCTCCATTAATGACTTGATTTGATTGCTATCAATCTCAACTGCTCCACCCAAGCATGGAGCATCGTCCAGCAAGAAATCTCCAGCTCGAAACGTCACAAACCACTTTTGACACGTTCGATCAGTCACGGCACCTTCCCCATATACTACACAAATCTTTTTTTTTCCTTTTGTGTTTTGGTTGTGTTTTTACCACATTATTCTTGAAATAATGAAGCATAATATGCTGAAAGAGTTACACATTTTTTTCCATCTTCAATATTAAAATGGCTACACAAAAATTCACCAATTTGGATAAGTTTTAAAATGCACACTGATATGACAGCTGTCACGATACAATCTAACAAAATTGTTTTGAATAAAGTTAAAGACAGCTACATGCTATTAGAGCCATCTTACGGAAAAAAAAAACAAGTGAACTTTTTGGCCAACCCAATATTTTTGACAAATAGTGCTGAAACAGCTAAGCACTTATGTGCATAAAAATGAATCTAGACACCGACCTTGTACCTTTCGCAAAAATTAGCTCAAAATGGATTGGAGACCTAAAGTAAAAGGTAAAACTGTAAAACTTGTGGAAGATAGTAGGAGAAAACCTAGGTGACTTTGACTTGACAATGGGTTTTTAGATGCAACCCAAAAGCATGATCCATGGGAGAAATAATTGCTAAGTTGGACTTTATCAAAATTTGAAAACTCTGCCCTGCAAAAGACAATGTTAAGTGAATGAAAAGACAAGACATAGACTGAGAGAAAGTATACCTGGCGTATAACAAAAGCTATGTAAATGTTTGCTAGGTAAGAATGAATGAGGCTGTGGCAGCCAGACATCTGTACGACTTCAGAGTCTGATTTTTGCGTCCTGGACACCTGTGCACACTCTCACTGGGAGGACCTTCATCAGTCCTTTGTTATTCTCCAACCCTTCATCCTGCTTCTTTATTAGAATCTATGGGACCTAAAATAATTATGCTTATTGGTCTGCAGGTTACTGTCTATCAGCCCCCACTGGCCCGTGGGCGCCATGAAATCAAAGGCCACGGCTGCTGCACTCACTTCTGTCTCCGCAGTGGAAGACGGTAGGTGTGTGCGAGGCTGCTGGGCTGGGCTGGGCTGGGCTGGGCTGGGGGAGACTGCTCTGACGTCGCCCTGTCCAAAGAAGCAAGTGGTCCAGCGGGGGAGGGGGCAGTCGGGGAGGCACTCAGCACAGACTAACAGCAGGCTAAGCAGCCCCGCAGAGGGATGTTCAGGGTGCTGGGGCCTGGGGCAGAGAAGAGCAGGTCTGAAAGTCAGGTGGAGCCAAGGCACTCAGGGACACGTACCAACACAGGGGCCTGGTACTGAAGCTCTGGTACCTGTCAGAGAAGGTTCCAAAAGGAGGGAAGCAGGGAACAGGCTTGAAAATGAAACACAGAGCAAGGCCTGTGACTGGAATCCTGAAGAGTTCAGAATATCCAGAACAATCTAAGCCATTTGAGGCAGGTGAGGGTAGATCTTTGAGTACCTCTCCCCCAAGTCTAGACTTTTTTCCTCTCTGGGGGTCTTTAGAAAAAACAGCCCCTCGAGGAGAACTGAGGACATCTCATCCTTGGGCACACTGTTCAACCACTGTGCTGCGGATGGCAGAAAACAACACAGCTTAGTGCTGTTTGGAGGAAAACCAACAGGCCTGTGGGTCGGCTGATCAAGGGGTTCTGCTACCATGGCAACAGTGGCAGGGCAACCCTAAACTAAGAATAAGAAGAGCAGTCCAGAAAAGGTCTAGAGAGCAATCACAGCAGACACCTAGAGGCACACACGGAGACGGGGCATCTGGGTTGAGAGCCAGAGCCGGCTCCCCTCCAGCCCCGCCTCCGAAGGTCCGGATGCCCTGGGCAGGACCCTCCCCCTTTCGGACTCAGTTGCCTCGTCTACACATACAAGCATTTCTGTGGGCCCCGCAGCTCCTCAGTTTGAGAATCACTGCCCTGCAGGGTCTGGCAAGGGCGGGGGCTCTATGCCTAGAACTTCTTACAGAAAGAAAGGAAAGAAGGAAGGTGTTGATAGCAAACCAGTGTGCTATCACTCACTTCCATGAGTCAGACTCCACAAGACCGATCTCCTTTAAATGGTCCAAGGGGTCAGGCTTCCTGAGCCCATTTCCGGAGTCTGCTGACTCAGGGTGACTCCAGCGCTACAGCCTCCCCCCACCACAGCCGGAGCCTGGGAAACCCCTAGTGAATCCTCGGCCCCCACCTTAACCTTGAGTGGAGGTAGCAGCTGCGTAGTTGCCTGCCCTTGGGCTCAGCATCAAGCCAGCTGGGTCTGGTTTCTGTCCACGTGCCCCTGCTCCAGGTCTTCCCATGGGCTCTGTTTGACCAGCCTTTCTAACCTTTCTATGTCCTGGGCCCTTGCCCAGGGGTCTATGAAAACCCCCTAAAACTGCAAAGTGCTGTCATGCATTGAAAGGCAGGGTTGGGTAGTAGGTGAGAAGGTAGTTAGTGGTGTTGCCACTGGCCTGCTGGGTAAGCTTGGGTAAGTTACATAACCTCTCTGGGCTTCTGTTTCATTAAAATGAGATCACACCTCTCCCACAGAGTCACTGTGAGGATTCAGTGAGTTAACACACAAAGCTAGCTATCATCACCACCATCACTGTTACTGCCCTTAGCGTTACTGCCTTAGACCGTCATCACCCAGTAGCTGGGGCGGGGGGTGCCCAGTTAGCCAATGGCAGCTCAGTTCTCCCTCACGTGGACACCCTGACTGGATCTCCAAATCCCAGTGGTGGGTGAGGAACTCCCTCGGGATGGACCCGGGGGCAGGGTAGCCTGCCTCCTGTGCAGGTGAATGGTGACCACACATCACTTCCATTCTGGAAACCACCTGTCCACCCCAGTGACCTCAGCTGAGTCCCTGCCCCCTTGATCCAGGGGCACAGCCAGTGGTGGCTCTGCTTCCCCCCAGGATGTACACTGAATGCGACGAGAAGAAGGTGCACAGCCCTAACTCTCCTTCCTAAATCCCTGCTGTCAGAAACCGCGCCTCAGCCACTGCTCTGGCCGTATCATTCCTTACGGGGCGGAGTAATCCCTCCATCCATCTCCAGACGAACAAGGCATCTTATTTGCTAGAAAACCTTCTTGTCTAGAAGGAGATAAACTGTCCCCAATGCATACAATGACCATTTCCAGTTTAGCTTAAGAATTCACACTAAAATCCACAAAAATGTTTCCGTAACAATTGGAAGAACTGGAGAAGTTTCCAGTGTTCTCACCAGCACCTGCTACTCCACAGGACAACCGTAACACTCAGCACACCCCGTTCAGCCGGCTCCCTCCGACAAAGGCATGTTTAACTGTCCTAAGAGAAAATCAATGAAAATACCAATCCCCTCACTGGGAACTTCCCTCATCTGGAGCATCTTAGGAAGACCACTGAGGGGAGGCCAAGGCTGAATGCAGACTATTCCAATAGATACTTAATAACGCTTTTATGTAACATTTAAAAAAATTTTAACAACACATTTCTGATGTCAAATGTGTGAAAATAAGTCTATTGTACGCCACTTTGAAAATCACATAGTAATGCAAAGGAGCTCTCGGCATGCTCACTCCCGGGCAGCCCTTAGCGGGGAGCTTATTTTATGGAAGAGAATAAAAACGGACCAATCAATAGAGCCTATAAGCGAGCATTTCTACAGCGTGTGGGACGTATACTCATTCAAGCGGCCCAAACTTCCCCTCCATTGTGGATGTATCAGCACACCTAGACAAGTTCTTTCACCATTCCCCGCCCGGCCAGGAGCGAAGACCTTATACCTGGCCTTCCTGCAATGGCGCAGGCCTTGGACGGGAGGGAGCGGCAATAATGAGGTGCTCCTGATGGAGCACGTGGCCCGCGTGGACCCGTGATGACTCCCCCGTGACCGCCTCAGTTTCTCCTCACACAGTGCACCTCGGGCGGCCGAGCAGACGGGCTGCCTCTGTCCCCGTGTGTCTGGGGGCAGCGCCCCGCAGGCCTCCCTGCTGCTGGCGGCTGGCGCTTACCTCCATGCTGTAACTCTCCACTGTCCTTCTCAGGGGGTCCACGGCCTGCCAGCAGATCAGGATGCACAGGTCAATGAGCAGCATGCCCCCCACGATCACGAGCAGTTTCTGGTCCTTGATGATCTGCAGAGAGGGCGAGAGCAGGGCGTGGGGGATGTGAGAGACGGCTTCCCAGCCGGAAGCTGAGAATCGGGTCACCTTCAGCTTGAGAATCTCCCGAGACTCTCCATCATCCACAGGATACAGCAGCTAAGCTCCTCTGCCTGACATTCATGGTCTTTCCTGAGCTTGGCCTGGACACTCCTGGTCCTCCTCTCGGGAAGTCTGACCGCTCCTAGTCTGTGGCTCAGCTGTGACCCTCCCCCGTCCCCCCCCCCCTTTAGGGGCAGGTTCTTTTGCCAAAATGCTCTTTCCTTTCAGTCTGGCAAACTCCTAATAGTCCTTAAAGACCCAGGTCCATTGTCGCCTCCTCCATGAAGTCCCTCTCGCGCCCGCAGCAAAACTAATTTCTCCAACAGCACCGTTCGCTCACTTCTTGGGAGCAGTGATAGTAGCAGGAACATGAACACCAAAAAGAGCAGCTGTCATTTAACAAACACTCACTCTGTTCCTGCCTCTGGGTTGACCCTTTCCATACACCGTGTCTTATATAAAGACACATATTATTATTCCCATTTTATGGATAAAGAAACTGAGGCTAGTGCAGGGTTAAGTAACTAGCTCGGTATAATATTGCTACTAAGTGGTAAAGTCCTGATTTGAACCAAGGTCCTCCTGTCTCCAGAGTCCACACCCTCCAATGTTTACAGCACCGACCAGACATTACACATTGTATCCACATCTGCCCTCTTCGGTAAACATTCAGTCGTGAACCCTCAGGACCTAGCAGGGCCTGGCACACCATGGGGGGTTTGCTGGGTTGAACTGAGATGAAGGACTATAAAAGGAAGAAATATAACTTCCATCCCTCTTTGCAGCTTATGATATCTTTATTACACTGTGAAATTCCCACCCCACTTTCTGTCTGTCTGGTAGGGACTGGCCTGGGGACAAACCCTGTCAGTGCCAGAGCTAACTGGTGTCTCACTCACTGCATGTTTATGATCCCCCTCCTCCCAATAAAAGCTAATGTGATGAAGTAGTTCTACAAAGGCTTATAGGGAAATAAACAAAGCTGAGGCAGAAGCTTAAGAAATATCACCAGGTCTGGCTTTTAATGATTAAAGCCATTTTTAAACTGGAGACAGAAACTCAAGGGGGCCTCTCTGCGGCTGAACTGAGAGAAGAACAGGAAGACAGTGTTTCTGAGCTGGTGCCAAAGAGCTCCAACCCACCGACACCGCCTCATCTGGGGGTGGGCAGCGGCAAAGCCCCTTCTTTGAGATTTTCTGGAAGCATCTATGGTTCCCTTAGAACCATAGATTCGCCCCAGCTAACCTGCGCCCTCTGGGGAGCCGAGCAGCTCCCTGCTAGCCTCGAGGAGTTGGGGCAAAAGGAAGCAACACCCGCGGAGCTTAGGACTCGGAGGACAGGCTGGCAGGGCGATGCCCTTGTGGGGCAGTTTGAGCCCCCAGGCATCTGCCGCACTGTGCCTGACCCCTGGAAGGTCTTTCCCCAGCCTTTCAGCTGGCACCTTCCTACCTTGGTGTCCCTCGAGTAGCCGCTTCACACCTACATGTGGTATTGTGACTCATGTCTGTCTTCCTACTACACAGTGAGCCCTGCACAGCTTGGCTTTCATGAACTGCCCTATTCTCAGAGCCCGTCAGAGCCACACACGGGGACAGCGCTCAGTGAGCACTGGCTGATGGATGACAATTGGGCGGATGTGCCCTGAGCACTCACTCGCACCGGCACTGTGCCGGGCACTGGTGACAGAGATGGACAGACTTTGGTGCCGCCCTCCAGGGTCGGCAGGAGAGACAGACTTGTCCTGGCTGATTGATTACAAGAGGGCGCTGGAGGAGAGGAAGTGGATTCACAGAGTGGGGGCTGGGGGGAGGGGCTGTCAGGCAGAGGAAGCAGAGGGGCAACTTCACAGAGTGGGAAGAGCCCCCAGGATGGCCGCTGAGGGGACGGCCTACGGCACGTCGCCCCTGGTTCTAGGGTCCTCGGTGACTCCCTATCACCCACAGGACAAATCCAGCCAAGTGACCACTCCCAAACACCATGTGCACGTCATTGATGCTTAACCTCTCTCCTTACTCCGTAGCCGTGCTGTGTTTTTCACCCTTCGGGCCTTTGTTGGTGCTGGTTCTTTTGTCCGCAACACCCAGCTCTTTCTGTGAGAGGCTTTGTGCATGGCTGGGTGAGCAGGGTGGGTTGGGGGTGGCAGCAGGCCGGGCTGGCTGGAGGGGGAGAGCTTGCATGACATATAATGGGGCCTCACAAGAGTCCACAGGAGGTTGAAGCATCTCTGAGCACCGGTGTGATGGGAGCAACGTGCAGCACTGAGGGGCGGACACGAGGCGGGAGCCTGAGGTGGGAGGCCAGTTAGAAGCTGGGGCAGTGGCCTGGTGAGCAGGGGGGAGGCTCGATGCAGAGCAGCGACTGCCAGGATGGACAGGAAGGTGCCGGGGCCACAGACACTGGGCGGCCTCCTGTCTGTCCCACTTCCTGTCCTCTCAGTCCTCTCCCTCCCCACTCCCCGCCCCCAAGTGACAGCACCTCCAGATCTCATCTTTTTTGCCAAGGCTTTCTCATGAGATTAAAGGCTGATTACTCTTCCCAATGTCTTATGTCCAGGAAGCAGTGACCTTGAACTTGCTTCCATTTTCTTCTGGTCTCTTCCTGAGAGCTTGTGAGGTCCAGGAGTGTGGAACGTCTTATACTCCAGCACACAAAACCTCAGGTCTGTTTGGATTGCACAGTGTCTACTGCGTGGAAGTGGCACACTGAAGGGAAAGAGCTGAGAAACACGGGCTGGAGCCACACTCGGGGAGTCGCTGGCAGGGGGCGTCGACTTCCCTTCAGAGTGGATGCAGCACCTTCCTGCAGCTGCATGAATGGGAAGGCACCCATGTGGCCCAGCTGGCCTTAAAACTTGATCAATATGATAAAGTCTTTCCAATTTTCAGGCTCAAGTATGAGGTCTGAGGTAGCATGGAGCAGTAGAAAGACAGGAGTTGGGATTACATGGACCTGGGCTGGAGTCCTGGCCGCACCTCTCGGTATCTGTGTGATCCTGGGCAAATCACTTCTCTCTCTCGTTCTGCATTCCCCATTCATAAAATGGCCAGGAGCAGGGAGACAGGGAGCAGGGTGGCTCATGTACTATCTTTGAGTATGGTGCCAAGGGGAGAGCATGCATCTGGGACTCAGAAGACCTCGTTCTAATCCCAGCTCTTGACAAAGAGCTCTTGACCTTGGGCATGCTATATAACATCACAAGGCTGACTTCCTCCTCTAAAACTGGGACCACGAACCCCGAAGCTGCAGAGTTGGTATAAGAGTAAAATGAGATTTACAGAGAGCACCTAGTTAGAGTGTCCGGCACAGATGAGACGCTGGACAAATGGAGACTCTTTGGCTACCGCTGTTTGGGTTTTGACAATTAGTGATTCTGTTTGTGTGCCTGATAATGACGTCCTGGGGCAAAATATGATATTGCAGGCCTCCAGAGGGGCAGCAGGGGTCCTGGGCTCGGGCCTGCAGCAGGAAGTGGCCACACCTCAGCTCTGCCTCTGGGGAGCTTTCAGACCACGGAACTCCTACAGTCTCCTGGACGTGGTTTGCCGATTGTTGCCAGGTGATCGGAGTGCTCTTCCTCGCCGAGCACGTGAGTCATGGGACATAAAGGCTGGTTCTTCATTACAGATCACGATATGGATGCATCACACACTGGCACAGAGGAATCAACACTGCACTTGTTCAAAGCCCCTTAGGATGGAGTTGTCCTAAGTGGCAGAGTCTCTCTCTAACCAGAGCCACGGAGAGAAGAGACCCGGAAGTCCCTTGGTGCCTCTCGCACCTCGGTTTGCATCAGCATCTCTGGGAAGGGCTGGTGAGCAACATGCTCCTGGGCTCCAATCAGGATTCTTATGGCTGGGGCGGGGGTAGGGGGTGGGGGCTGAGCACCTGCATTTCTAAGAGGCTCCCAGATGATGCTGATGGTGCTGCTGCAGCTGGTTCAGCCCTCAATCTGTGCAGCCTTGGTCTAGACCAGAGGTCTTCCATCGTGGCTGCCTATTGGAATATCCTGAGAAAGTCCCAAAAGTCCTGATGCCCAGACACAGAGGTAGAATTTGATTTCAGCTGGCCTGGGCTGGGTAACTTCTTGTAATGTGCAGCCAGGGCTGAGAAGGATGAGTACCAGGCTTTGCATCTTACAGACACAGGGAAGTAATCACAAACACTGCTGAAGCCCAGTGAGAGAAGAGGCCCTGCACAGGCAGTGGTGGCCAGACGGAGCTCTTTCCTCCCTCTAAAAGCAGGCTGCAGCTTTCGTAAGGCGGCCCAGCATGGGGAAGGGGGCAGAGAAGGGCAGCTACCCCTCCCCAGTTTGGAGGGCGGCTTCTAAGCAGCCCTGGAAGTGCAAGAGGCGGGTGGTGAGGACGATGAGTGTGAGGCGCCAGGCAGAATCACAGCTCAGGAAACAACACTGTTTCCATGTGACCCATTTTATAGATCAGGAAACCCAGAACCTGTTGGATGACGTGCTGTGCCCACAGTCCCACGGCAGGCCAGTGGATGCCTGCTCTCCGGCTTCGCCTGCCGGGCCCACTGCCCTGGGCACGCCTGCTGTCTGCCACAGGTGCCGGGGCTCATAAGCCAGGCACCAGATGGGAAACGCAAGTTTGGGGTGAAGAATCGCCACAACGGGCACCACATTCCAAAGAGGGATGGACTGCAATGCGGCATCTGCAGAGATGTCTGTAAACAGGTTATACCCACAGCAGCAGCGGTGTATAAAGTGTGTGTGTGTGTGGTGACGGGTGGGGGGGTGGGTAGGGGTTCCGAGTGGGGCTGGGTCCAGAAGAGGCGTTTGGAAAGAAGAGTCAGGATGTGAGAAGATCCTGCCCAGAGGTGAGAGGATGGGGGGTGGGGTGGGGACGGTTCCTTCTTGGCCTCAGATTGAGAGGGAGAATTGAAAGAGGCTCTAAGAACACTCGGGGAGCTTGATGGAGAGGGGTCCCTGCAGCCTGGGGGCTCCCAGGAACCGGTGCCTGACTGTTGTCTGGGGAGCCTGCAAGGGGATGACAGGCTGGCCAGCTGCCCTTCAGGCGGGGGCGGGGCAAAACAGAGGAGCAGCTGAAATGGTGAGATCAACCTGAAATCCTTGTGATTGTAGCAGCAAAGGATGCAGGAGGGCCTCCTGCAGAGCAGACGTGGCCCCCGGAGCAAGGGCGGGCCGTGCGGCCCAGTGCAAGACAAGCTGGGGGGTGGGGCGAGCCCAGGAGTGGAGGAAGAAGCCACAAATGGCCACCCAGCAGAGTATTCCACCTGTGTCAAGGGCGCTGCTGGACAGAGTCCCAGAATGCAGGCTTTGAGAAACCCACAGGGACACCCAGGGGAGTCTGAAGGGCCTGCTTGACCGCTGCCAGGCCCAGCAAGCCCAGTGCCTGCCACTGGCAAGCACGGCAAGCAAAATCCTTCCTGCGCCGCCCACTACTCCAAGCTCCAACTCTGGAGGGCTCCGAAGCCTTGGGAATGGGATCATGGGGGAAAATCTCAGGCTGGCAAAAGGGAGGAACAGCCCACCCGAACCCCCCCTCCTAGGGCAGCTGCAGTCCTGCCACCGGCCCGAGCTGGGGGAGGGAGAAGCCGTGCCTTTGAATGCAGTTTGAGGCTTTGGATATTAATGTGGACTCCACATATTAGTTGCCGACCAGAGGACCTTCAAAGTCACGAGACTTTCCCCAATTTTATGCAGGAGCAAGGGAGGAAGAGCAAGCTCCACTGGAAGAGTTGAACGGACAGCGATGGGGAAGGTTTGCCTCGGACACATCCTAACAGTCAAGTTAGTGCACGTGCTAGGTACGCCCAAGCACACCGGTGACAAAAGCGGCCTTCTCACGTGAAGGCAGAACCCCTCTCTGAACAAGGAACAATTAAATCAGGTCCCAGCCCTGTGTCACTCCCGTCTTTCAAGGACTCCCCGTGCCTGAAAGTTAAAGTTCAGATTCCTTCCTATGGCTCCTGCCCTCCCCTGGGGCCTCCTCTGCACCCTGTCCCCACGAACCCCGTGCCCCAGCCACACGGAGCCTCTCTCAGTGCCATGAACACACCCCGCCCTCCCCAGGCCACTGTACACAGTTCCCTTGACAGGGCTCGAAAACGCCTTCGCCTCTGGCTAACTGCCACTCACCCTCCAGGTCTCAGCAAGGTGACACTTCCTACCTGAAGCCTTCCCTGAGTGCCTGTACTCCAGTACACCCCTCCCCACACCCGGTGTCCCCGACCAGCCCTTCTCACTGTGTGTTGGAAACCCTTCGTCAACTGTCTGGTCTCCCCAGGTGGCGGACAGTGTAGAGAGGGGGGAGTGGGGCAGGGGTTGTGTTTATCCCGAATCCCCAGCAAACAGCCCAGTGCCTGGCACATAGTAGGTGCTTAGTACATATTTGTTAAATAAATGCTCCGTGAAGACTACAGACACCCTGAAGCAGAGGGGTGATTACCTTCTTCTTCATTTTCACGTTTTTGAAGATGGCATGGACCCTCCACGTCTTCGCAAACATGGCCCCGAAGGCGGTCGTGTAGCCCACGGTGAGAATCCAGGTCCTGACCTAGAGGCCGTGAGGAAGCATAAGCATTAACGTCTCCTAGGAGGACCCAGCTCGTCATTTAGGAGAGTATCCCAACACAGGGACCCTTGAGGATGGGGACAGACACTACATATCAGAGAGTCTTACTAACACCTACAGTCTTTCAGTCACATTTTGGTCTGCGAGACAGTTCCATTGGCCACTTGCCCAACCCAGGGCCCTGGGCACAGAGGCATTGGAGATTCAAATCCTGCCTTCGGTGGCCCCCCAAGGAAGCCACCCCTGGGGAGCAGCATGGAGGGCCCCAGGGCCCCTGAGGGGGTCAGTCACTGAGGGTGACATAAGAACCCTCTGGCGTTCCCTATTTCATTCCTTCCTTGAGTACCTTTCATGTGGGGAACGTAATCACTGACTTCTCTGTCTCTTTACCTGCATCTACAGGAGCCCAGGTGGCCCCGGGAACCTCTTCTATGGGGCTCCTGGGTCCTGGATTGTGGCAGGGACGGGAGGAAGGCTCAGAGCCACAGGGGCTGGGACTGGGCAGGTGAGCGAGCTGGCTGTGGGCTTCTCTGGTGCTCAGCAAACCCGCCAGAGCAGGGCAGGACGCAGCCAGAGCCAGCCCTGAGGGGTGCCCAACTGGCAGGTGCACCCAGGCCAGCTCCAGGCCACCAGGAGGGGCTGCTCAGTTAGGGAGGAAGGCCAGAGGAAAGGGGCTATGACCTTCGCACTCCTCCTGCTGCCCATACCCCCCACCCCCACTACCACCATGGTTCAGACACTTGGCTCCTCCTGTGCTGTGTGACCTCAGCTCAGCAGTCTGGTTTCTCAGTGCGAGGCCAGCCTGGCCCTGAGCCTGCACTGGACCGTGGCTGGCTCTTGCCTATTCCCCAGGACAAAGATGTACGCTGACCCTCAGCCCTGGGCTGGTGGCTGATAGAAACTGGCAGCCCTGAAAGGAGCCAATAGCCTGGATCCCTGCAGGCAGAGAAGGGCAGCCACCAGGGGTTAAGGTGTGGGAGCCTCCTGGATGCCCATTCCCTGCCTGCTCCGCCATCATGGCCAGATCCCAGCCTCTCTAGACCTCACCCTCACCAGCTGGACTGGACACCCTCCAATACCCAGGACACTTGCTGCGCTCCAGCCTGGGTCCCACAGCATGGCCCGGCCCTGGGCTGTGCACCACTGGGGCCTCCTGCTCCCTGGGACAGAAAACCCTGCATGCTCTGCGAACTCCAGTTCCAGGCTTTGCTTTCTCCTTTGCCTTCCTTCAGCTCTGCTGAGCGGGAGGAGAGCGGCCTCATTGTCCAGAGGGATGGGACGCAGCAGGCTTGCCCAGCCCAGGTCAGCTGTCAGCACATGCAGGGAGTTCCCCGAAGTGCTCAGGCCTAGTCCCTTTATGGAGTCCCCTCATTCTGCCCTTCTAGAAACTTAGCTCCCCAGCTTTTCACAGGTAACACATTTCTTCTTTCTACTTTATTTGTGAAAACAAACAGGCTGGGTAGACTGCCAGGCTAACCCCCCAAGTCCGGGAAGGATAACGGTGTTACAGTTATTGTTCAGAAATATGGGCATGTGAGGTATGACTGCTGATGAGGTACAGGTGGGCACTTATCTTCTCTCTTTTTTTTTAATTTAAAAAATCAGGAGAAACTAGACAGGCAAGAATGAATCTCAGTCTCTTAGGAAGGCACAGGAGGCTACATTATTAGCCATATTACAATGTGCGTACGCAAGAAAAAGAAACAGCACACAGAGGGGAAGGAGCAATCAATCATTGCACATTTAGACGTGAGCTCATTCAATGGCCAGATTGTACATTCTCAGGCTGTCAGTTGCAACTCATTCATGCGTTTGTTCATTCCTTCTTAGGCTCATTCATAAGTACAGATGCTCTTCCACTTATGCAATGGGGTTATGTCCTGATAAACCCATAGTAAGTTAAAAATATCATAAGCCAAAAATATATTTAAAACACCCAACCTATGGTTTAGCTTAACCTCTGTTAAACGTACTGAGGACACTCACGTTAGCCTACCACTGGGCAAAACCACCTCACTGCTGCTGCCCAGCATCACCAGAGAGCATCGAACCACATAGCGCCAGCCCAGGAAAAGATCGAATTTCAAAATTTGAAGTAGGTCTCTATTGAACGTGGATCACTTTTGTAGCATCGTAGAGTTGAAAAATCCCAAGTCTGAACCACAGTGTGTCGGGAGACTGACTGTATTATTAGACCAGAGACTAAGCACATTTGACAAAAACAAAGAGAGGAAACAACAAAAACTGGGGTGATGTTTTCAGAGCCAGCAGTTGGGTGAGAAAAGTACTTTGCCGATAAAGAAGCCAAGACTCAGCACTGACAATGTGAGTATTTCTCTCCACCAGGCCATTAGCTCCAGCCGGGGCGGAGCCTGGACCGCGGAGCCCAGACCTCCACACCTGGTCCCCGTCCAGGCCCCTCTCCCCCACCTCGTGCTCCCACCTCTGCAAAGGGGGTCTCCTGAGCCCAGATGAGGTTCATCCTCACCCAGGAGTCAGCTGTCACAGGGCAGGGCGCACTGGGTGGGGGGCGGCCCGAGAACACGCCCCGGGGTGGTTTTGACACCCTTTCAAAGCCAGTAGGGGCCACGACTGTTAGACCGATGGCTTTCACGCATTTTTGATGATGTTCTCCTACCAGAAAAAGTTTGCAACGCAAACGTACACAGAAGGTGGAAACTGTAGAAGGACTGAGAAAGATGAATACTGTTATTTTCACCTCATCACATGGCTGACAAAGATCTATTTCATGTAGAAGTGTCGCTTCAATGTGCTCGGCATTATTATATTTGCTTTGACTTTTTTTTTTTAAGTAATCATTTCCAGGCCACTTGTCTATTTTGTGAGGGCTAAATTCATTAAGACCGGGTAATATAAATGAGTTAAGTTAGTGAAAACTCAATTATATAAATTTAACCTGGCATCTGGAAATGGCAATATCCTGCCATACACTGGAAGCCGAGAAGAGCCGAGGATCTCCTGGGCTGACCGGAGTCACTGGCTCGGCAGACGGTGTCCCTGGGAAGGCCTGCTGGCAAGGCCAGCCCGAAGCTGCCGTCTGCAGACCCGGATTCAGGGAGTGCTCCCACCATCCCCTCAGTGGTAAGAGTGACTCTGCACCTGAGCCGTCTGTGCAAGCAACACGGTTTATGCCACATGCCTGCTTTCTGCAGGGGGCCTGGCATTTGGTAAGTGTCTGGCAGAGGGAGCCTAGGTGACCCACCCCCAACAGTGACCCTAAAGGGCACTGAGTGTCCAGTAGGCGTCCCCAGCACACCACACGTGTTGTCCCAGTTCTTTGCTGGGGAGTTAAGTGTGCCCCGTGTGACTCTGCTGAGGGAGGTTCTTGCAAGCTTGCGTCTGGTTTTCCCATCTTTGCCCCTGGAACCTTTTCTCTTTGCTGATTTTTCTTTCCGTTCTTTCGATGCAGTAAATCACTGCTGTGAGCACAACGGCATGCTGAACTCTCCCAGTGAATGACCGGACTGGGGGCTGCTGTGGGGACCCTCATCACAATGCCCTACCACTTTCTGGTGTAAAGGATCGACCAACCGCTCCATTTTCAGGAAAACTCCTGGATAAGACCACCAGACACCCCCGTGAGCAATCAGCCCAAGCAGTAAATATTAGTAAAGCTTAATTGCTTTCTTTTTTTTCTACATAGAAAGTAAATAAAAGCTGTAATATATTCTTCCCCAAGATGATCCCCATGGGTTCATGTCCCATTTGGAAACAGCTCCTCAGGCAATGGAGAAGCCACACTGGAGGGGGACTCAGCACAGGAGCAGGACCCTGTGGAGATGCCGCCCCCCCCCCCCCGGGGCTGGCTCTGCACAGGGTCAGCCCTGGGGGAGGCCCTGCAGAAGGCTAACATGTTTTTTTCTCCACCACCTCTTTAAGAAGGAAATGGACCCCAGGGCTCGGTCCTGCAGATTGAAGGGCTCTCCCTGGGCCATCGCCCCTCACTTCCAGGCTTCCGCCACTTTCTTGTGCTGACAGTTCCCTTATCTCTCTCCCAGCTCCTGTCTCTCTTCTGAGCTCCAGACCTGCCTATGCCACTGTCCCTGGAGATGCAGGTGACACTTAGTTGTCCCATAAAACCTGCATACTCCACAGCAAAAGCGGAGCCCATCGGCTTCCCCTGAGCGGCTCCATTTCTTCCCGACCCAGGGAGGGGCGCCTTTATCCACCTGTCACCCAAGTCGGGGGCTGGAAGTCCCCTGGGAGTCCTCCCCCACTCTCACTGTCCTAGTCAATCCCCAAGTCCCTCTCCTCCTCCTGTCTCGCCCACCTCCAGTCTTTCCTCTGCCCTTCTCTGTGCTCAGAGGTGGGGCCCCAGGCCAGCCCCCCTGGGGTCCCTTGCCCTCTGGCTGGATCTGAAAGGCCCATCAGGACATTGGAGGGCATATGCTCCCAGCTGCTGCTGCATCTGTGCTGCTTCTCTGGCCACAGCTGGCCCCTCACAGGGCTTCAGTCCTCTCTGGGCTCAGGAAGACACCCTCCTCTTCACCCTTTCGGGCCCAGGAGTGGTGGCCCTCCCTGCAGTGCCTGAGCTCTGGGGGACCTCCACACCTGGGTTTGCCTCCTCAACCCCACCCCACCTCTTTCTGTGAACCACCTGGCGGGCTCTGCCTTCTGCCGGGGCTCTGCCATCTTACTCCCGTGTGTCTTGTTAGGAGCCCCTCCTCTGTTCTCATGGCACCAACCTCATTAGTCATGAGCAGGGCTTTGGAGTCAGACTGACATGGGTTCAAGTCCCAGTTTTGCCACTTGCTATTTACATGAGTCTGGGCAGGTCTTGTAACCTCTTGGAGTCTCGATTTCCTCATCTGTGAAGTGGGGATAACAGTAATGGCCTCGGACTCCAGAGAGGGTTGCAAGGGTTGGATGAAAGCAGGTGTGTGAAGTGCTGAGGCTCTTAATCGAGGTCTGACTTCCGGTCACATGTTCCTTATCACCGCTCACTGGACACCGGCTGGGGC